CCTCCGCGCACAAAAAATGAGATGGGCATCGCTGCCTACGCCGACGGCCAGAGGCCCGCGCATCTACATTTTTTCGCCTGACCCCATCAGTGCCGACCCAACTACACCACCACGCGCATGCCTCGCGGCGGATATGCGCAGCAGCAAGAAGGTTTCGGTCATCCCTTGAGGGTGAGTCTAGCCCTGCTCGCCAGAAAGACCCCCCCCTTCACTACAACCCATGTCTAAGCAAAAGCTTGTCGAGGAGCGAGGGGAAGAAGGGAGAAGAGTGGTAGAATATATAGCTCTGCGTTCCTCTCCTGTACTATTTTTACTATGTGCGCTCATCTGTCAGCATCCAATGCTTGATTGTTATAGTCCTATTATACCATAGATCCAACCGCACAACTTGATCCACAGGGTAGTCCGAATCCGTCCGATAATGCCAATCTGCACAAGATCCATTACACTGCTGTACTGACAGGCAGTTCCAAGTAGCTGTACGCAGTGAGTAAACAGGTGGTGAGGTATGCGCTCCCTCAGAAGAAACACCAGGTCCTATCAGCCCGCTCTCGTTTTCCCGCACCGGCGGTCGGTGAGGTCGCTGCCCTCCTCTCGGCGAGTCTAGACCATGCAGTCTATTCTACATAGTCTATACTCCATCATGTAGTCAGTCTTCGACTATAGTCTATGTATGATGATGTGGACTTGGGCAACAAACGATGAACATGAGTCTACCAATACACATGATGAACGGCATACAATGCACAGTAGTAGCATATAGACGAGGTTTTCGGCGGCATAGTCTACGCCGCCACGCTGAGAGGAGAGAAAACAATTATAGCCAGCAATCTTAACCCACTCCTTCTTGCGGCCAGACGCAATCCAGTGCACCCCCCTCGGCAATCATCAGGGATTTATACTGCTGTACAGCATCATCCGTCATTCAACCACTCCTTCACCACTTGGCTTAGACTCTTAGAGGACAATGCGCCGAACCAACACGAAAAGCCTACTTTTTGGAAACCCCGACACGCCTTGATCTCAATATATACTTTATCTCGACATCTAGACTAGATCTATATATCTCTAATATATCACCTCTTTCCTGCGCCTAGACGATGCTTGAATCAAGTTTCCTGCCAGGCTACGCACTGCAGATCTGCAGATGCGTAGGTTCAAACAAGCTTTATACAGGGAGGAATCAAAACACTCGCTTACGTAGCTGGCCAGCATGTTCTTGCCAACGGCAGTCCCAGAAAAAAGAAATAGATAAGAAGATTGGATAAGAGATGATGATTTCCATGGGCCAAACGCACACCTAACCCGTCATCAGACAAGCTGCGTGGAATTTCAACCTACAGAATGGCCCGTAGTGAAAGTGCAGGAGGAGTTGCGGGCTCGAATTCGTCATTCTTTGCAGAGAACAAAACCAGAAGTAAATGAAGAAGAGTACATTCGCCCGAGGTTGCCCCGACGCGTTTCAGTTCAAGGCCTCATGGCGCCACCGAGGGGCAACTGAGCAATGAACACGACGGCCTCATAGAACGATATTTGAGGTGTAGGTGCGTGTAGCGTCATCACTGCGTTGTCACGCTCGCGGGCTCTTGTCAAGAGCGTCTGTGCGCACAGAAGGAGTTCCTTGAATGATGAACATCAACGAGTGAAAGACAGGCGTGAGGCGGAGACTCGCGCGCCAAGTCCATCGCACCAACCAATAGCCGCCACGTAGTAAGCCCCAGATATCTCGGAGAATCCGTACTCTGCCGAGCTCACCCATCCAGCCCCCCTACTCGCTTACTCGGTAAGATGTACGTCTAAGTAGCATTTACGAACCTTCCTCTCACGTATTGTCATAGCAATGAGTCAAAACCTCAAGTCCCCAAATTGCCTCAACTCCGCGATATGTCGAATGCTCAGAGTTCAGAGTACGGTTCCTCCTTATCCACCATCGAAGATAACGTGAATCTTTTTCTTCAATCGTCCCACTCGAGACAATACTAAGATTTTCAGCCTTTGTACCCCGATTACTCCTGTACCCCCGTCCGCCCGCCGGTGTTTCTTTCACACTCCAAGTCCTCATATGCCGGTGATCTGGAACAACGGAAGGTTGCCGATTCTAGGTGTGCATCGTCCGCTACCCCTTTCTAGTGACCTGAAACGCATACTGTGTATGAGCTGGCGCTCCACGCGGTACAGTGGTGGCCACCGTGAGTCAACCAACATTTCTACACGGATAGGTGCCTCGAGCAACAAACGCATTGCGTGCACTTGTTGCTCCTCGTGGCTCTGCCAACATGCCCAACGCGACTCGAGCTCCCCACGATATGAACATCATAGGCACCCGAAAACTGTTTCCGAGCCTTCGCTGATCTTGAACGATATGGAGACACCCTCACCAGTCACCGCGAAACGAGCCGGCTCGGAAAGACCGGGGTGCCTCCGACAAAGAAAGAGATCATGAAGGCAAGGCTGGTTTTAGCGGCATTTCACCGATGTGCAAGTGGCAGGGGATGAGAGCGCGTTGGCGCCCACCCCTCTGGCCTTCCGCTCAATACCTACACGAGGTAGTCCATACGCCTCCTGCGCACCCTGTGCCACCACTCGCCCGTGGAAAGTCCTTTCGATTGAACCTGCATCATTGAACCCAGCACGTTGTTTATGTGATACATCACGAAGACTTTCAGAGTGAAACGCCTAGACTATGGTCGAGGCAGTTGGAAAGTTGGCAGAGATTCTTCAAACCTGATGAATAATCTCAGTCCATCATATCGTGTGATGCTGCGTAGTACGGTAGCCTCCTTGGCACGCACGGGCGGCAAACTGTTGAACATCCGACCAAGATGCTATTGACACCAAGGCAGATTATCCAAATCAGAGGATCGTTTGCACAGGCTCGGAAATATGGTGTGGGAATCATAACACGCCCTTCATGGTTTCTGGAGGAGCCCTGCATGGCTCAACTCAGGATTTCCTATGCAAAGTACGCGCACCTTGGAGAACGGTATGCAGTAAGACACCGGCTTTTGCGGCAGGTCGACTTACTAGTGCTGTTGAGGCCTGCGTTTGGAGCAGTATTGTGCGTGTGAAGCGCATACCCGACGACCCATGGCTATAAATAGCTTTACGTTTTTTCAGCCCCCCAAACAAAGAGCAACTACACAAGAAAAGTAGATCATTGGTCATTGCTCCATACTCGCCGGGGTACACGTCACGAACGAGAAGCAACAACTCCCGGAATTCCAACTTTCGCACTCACATTCACTATTGTCCGCGCCGTGATTGCCCCATTGCGCCATTTCGTTGCGGCTCGATATCAGCTCAAGCGTTTCCTCCTATGCAACCAGGTTACGCGATCAAGATAGATGCCTTGGATGTATCGGAGGGTGGGTATCGCCGTAACTCCCATCCCAAACCCCACTACCGGTCGTCAATTCTTTCGACAAACACCTATCCGACAACCGTAGCGTGAATCAAATTATTGGCCTACCACAGAATACAACATCGGGCCAGAAATCTGTCAACTGACCCCCCCCCCGGTCCGATGAAAGCGCCGATGGTCGTGGAATATGCGCGATTTACCTACGCTCATTCCTCCGATTTTCCTGCTGTCACATTTCGTTGTGCAAATACACCGCCTGCGCAGAATAACTAATAATTCAATGTGTGAAGGAGCGGGGCGCGGGAATAAATCAGGGATGGATGCGCCCACCGTACCCGCTTGAAGACTGGCATTTTGCATCAATGGAAAACCTTATCAAAACTGATTAGGCCGAGGGCAGCGATTTCTTCGGCCGAGCACATTCGTCGTCACGGAGTGCGATCTACGGAATCTCCCTGAGTCAAAACACGCCCGTCATGTTCCTGAATGAAATTCCCGCACGAGTTGACTACTGAACTTCATCATATCCCACTGTGTAGTATGCAAATAGCAATGGAGACGTTCTCTCCCCGTCCCCTGTACCGTTTCCTTTGACTACTTCGTGGCGCCATCAATCGGAACTGAACAACGAGTGATATGTGCAATCTGATTCGTGATATTATGTCAGTATAGTTCCTACTGTACATGTAGTTCAGTGATGCTGCAAGCCCTTTCGATCGTGCACAACATCGTCAGGACACATAACGGGCAAACATTGCACCAGTCCCGTTGCCCGCCGCAGGTAGGTGGTCAGGTTGTCGTACCAGGAATGTCCAATGATTTGGAGATCGATCTTTTGCGAACTTACCTTGCATTGAACGTGGTCACACCAGAACCGAGGGACGAGATGAAGGCTTGGTACATACAAAGCATCTGAATACGAAAGCTTGAAGTGCGTTTGGAGTACTGTGGGGAGTGAAAGGTATCGTTGTCTGTACGCGATGGAACGAGTAGAACCTGTTGCGGGTTCGCGGCACGCCAGATTGCGAGCGACGAGTGTATGAGCTTGTTGATACTTTTGCACAATTGTTCAATGTGCCGTCGAGAACTATACATGACTACCAACCCGGCCGGCCGACTCTATTCCCACCACATGTGACCCTTTCCCGTCCCCTCACCTGTCGAAGCTCGTGCTGACGTCAGACTTTTTTCCCGTGGACGCTCATGTCTACCTCCCCATATGCATTCTTTTCTCCAGCGCTGGAGTTGAAGATGACGGAGGATATTTCCAGGTTCCGTCGGGAGGAGCATCAGTCATGCCGGGCCATGTCCATGATCGAGTACGGAACGCCGGTCCCTTCAGCAACGTTGTTCGAATGGCCGCCTCCGTGCTTCCGTTCCTCTTGTCATCGGGCAGAGGAGATCCGATCTGGTCTCTAGCAAGCCTGCCTTGACAATAATATTTTTCCGTGTCGGCCCCAGCCGACAGAAGAACCCGAACGGCAGGAACCCTGCAATAATTGGCAGCGACATGAAGCATTGGATGCCACCCGAAAACATGTCCGCCGTACCAGGGCGGGGAACGCCGCGTAGAAGTGAACCGTCGTGCCGTCGTGCCTGCAAAACACATGCTGGTTCGCCCAAACCTCTTGTTATTTTCCCCCTTCCACTTTCAATAGAATCTCCAACATATCAATGCGCCCAAACCGCACCGAGACGGCCATCGCTCCGGCGATAACCGGTAATCCGCCGACGGCCTCCAAACCGATTTCGAGCAAGAACTGCACGGAGTTTCCGTTCCCAACCCCGATTGCCTCATGAACGGCGCACACTCCCTTCGTCGCCCATTTTATCGAATCACTTGCGCCTGCAGATTGCAGAAGAGACAGCGTGCTCTCTCGACCCTGTAGCGTAGCTGCTCCAAGAGGTGAACATCCTTCCTTGTGGCATGATTCAGTGTTGATGGTGCCTTGAAAAGAAGCACTTCAACGCCCAACCTGTGTAAAGAACATTGCTTTCGAAAAACCGCAGATAGACGCATTTGCGGCAAACAACAAGCGCGCTGTGAAATAAGTGCCTCACTCGGCTGTCTCGTCATTATTCTCTCTGGCAGGCCCGGACGCTCTATCTGACTGTGCCTTGTCCCGCCACGACTGATGATGGTGCGAATGAGTCCAAATGCAGTTGGACAGCGAACAACTATTATAGTGGAAAACACACGGTCCCTGTTCTCTTTTCAGGGTTGTCCTGCGCTCGTTGTCTTCACAAAATGGAGGGAAAGGGTTTGCTTCGGCCTTTATTTTCAATCGAGGCAAAGACGTTACACGAAATTCTTGCGAGATTTGCTGACGTAGTGATCGGCATGGGGAGGTCGCTTCGCCCAGCAGGTGCCACAGAGCTGCCCCCCTCCAATTTCAATAACTGAAACAGGAATTCAAGACGCGAACTGCACTAGGCACTGTGTTTCGATTCCCACTGGCAGTTGCAGAAGGACCCACTGAAGCTCGTTGTTGGAATGCTACCGTATCCATTGTGCACAGCTGATGTTTGTATATCTGTGATGGAGGGTCGAATTTGGATTTTCAAATATGCCAAATCACACCTCGATGAACACTGCCAAGGAATTTAGACAATGTGGTGAGGGGCGTGACCACAGCACGTTCACACCGCCGGATCGAGCTATGAGAGACTGGGTATGGAGAGAGTTCCGAACGACAGTCATCGAAACATCTTACCCTCCACAACATTTGTTTCTCCACTTGAACCCTCCATCAATGCTTTCCGCCAGGATTCAGGACCAAAACCAATCTTGGACATGTGCTAACTGCATTGGTCTATGGTACAGTGTCTCACGTTCACTTGAATTTCGAGCCCATTTCGGAGAGGAATCCCCAGAAAACCGGAACGAAAAAAAAGCAGCAAAAATCGTCACGCCAGCTCAGGCCAGCACAAGTGGCTGGTAGCCGGCCACCATGACCGTCCCCTACCCTTCCCCTGCCGGCGAATCCTCGATGAGATCCATCGAGCCTTTCGCACAGAATTAAACCGTTGTCCCGGCGACATCTTCCTCTACCAGTATTGCCCCTAGGCGTGGACGAGTCTTTCGCGGAGATACAGGCAAAGTACAGGCGGTGGCGCGTTCTGCTTAGTTATTCTTTTCGCCGTCTTTCTCTCCGTCAATATCCATCGGAGATGCCGCCTCCTTGCCAGATACTGCGGCTACAGCAGCAGTGGCTGTGGCCGATGACGGCTCCTTCGCTCCTCCGGTTTTTCTCATTGTGTTTCCTTCCGAGCGTTCGCCCGCGTCACTATTTCTGACTAGCGCCGTCGCGGACCGAGGCTCCTTATTCAATATCGTCGCCTTCCCTTCACCCTCGACACCTTTGCCCTCGACCTCCATGGGAGACGAACCGCCCCCACCGCCCCTCTGGCCGTCAGCAGACGTCGCCGCCTCCGCCTTGAAAACCTTGCCCCGTGCCTCCTCCCCGCCCTTCTCGCTCGTTTCTTCGCCGTCCTTTTCTTTCCGCCCCTCGGGGCAACCCTCGTCTTTCCGAGGGAGCATCACGGCCGCCGCCTTTTCGCTCCCGACTACCTCTCCCTCGGCGCCCTTTCCCGTGGGAGAAGAAGAGATAGAAGGCGTCGTCGTCTTGCCGTCTCCAGCGCTGTCTCTTGCCTCCAGCCTCTTGTCGCCCTCTCCGCCGGCGTCCGCTGGGGGGGGCGGCGAAGCTCGGCCCTCGCTCTCATCTCCTTCCCGACTGCTTACGCTAGCCGGGGTGCTGGGGTTGTTATTTATCGCGGACGCTGCGGTGGAAGCCCCCGCGGTCGAGGCGCTGTTGCCGGTTACGTTGTTGGTTGTGCTGCCACTCAGGCTTGGGAGGGGAGGGGCGCCGCCGGTTTGGCGTGTCGTCGTCTCCAGGCCTCTTGCTGCTCGCTCGCGCTTGGTTTCTTTGCGCTGGGACTGATCCGCGTGAGCACGGGAGACGGGTGGGGTACACGGATGAGCGCATGGCGACGAGGCAGGAACGATCGCGAGAACTTGGCAATCAATATCTGAGAACCCGGTCTTCGGAAGAAAACCTGTTGAGGCATACTGTATTGCGGGGAAACCCGCGAGAAAAACAAACCACATGTGGTGTGGCCATCGCCTGGCCTTCCTCTCGCGGTAAGTTATCGATCCACCAACCAGAAACCCGTACTCCGAATTCTATGCACAAGCGGGACGCTGTCGGTACATTCAAACCATCATTCATGGCGTACGCTCCAATTGAGAGGCGATCGCATTCTCCCGGACCCGGTCTGGTGTGGTCGAGCCCACCTGGGCGCATACCCAAACAACCTGCGCCAAATGCCATCCTGAATGGTACACATTTGGCACTACTCATGCCGTGCCCCGCGTTCCCGTTCCGCCTCAATTTCTGTCGAAAGCAGCACACGATGGTTGAACCTTTGCGACAATCCTGAAACCGTAGATATTAGGCCAGGCATGGGCGCACCTTCATCTCGTCCTTGGAATACGGCCTAAGGGCGGCCACGGGTTTGTAGCCAAGGGATCTCGGAGGGGGGTACACGAAGTCCGGGCCGAAGTTTACCCTCACGCTTCCGCCCATGTATAGAGATACCGCCGGGAAATAGGTGCCTGTTGCGGTGGTGGATGGGAAGTGCCGAGGAGATGAATAAACGGGTTTGGGGATGGGAGGGTGAACAAAGCGAAAGAGATTAGATGGGTGGAAAGGGAGCGCGGGGAGGGAACGTAGTCTTATGCTCTGCATGTCTTGCGGGTTAGACTGTTTACCACGGGACCTCGAGAGGACGGGAGGGGACAGCACTAGGGGAGGGTGGAATAGGGTACGGAATCGAAACATGGGTGTGATTTTCTACGGGAATTTCGTCATTGAGGGCGTCCTGTGGTGGTTTATCCCACGACTACTCCAGAAGCGCTTTGGCAACGTTCACGGCGTGACAAACAAAACCAGCAACGAGCAGGCGCGAGAAAACTGACTCCGCGCACCTGGCGGCCTTGTCACACGTCGACGTCATGTATCGACAAGGAGCACCCGCCGGGTGCACGGCCGCAACGCCCAGGCGCGAAATACCTGGCTTCATGGCGCTATAGGCGACGCCCTGATCCCTCCCGTTCTTGAAGAACCGAATCTCGTTGAAGGGGTCGCCCGCCGCCGTGTCCGACGCCGCTGTCGCCGCCAGCTCGCTCGGAGACTGCCCCGCCGCGAGCGCCGCAGCCGCAGCCGCAGCCGTCATGCCGTTCCTACCGGAGTCGGAGGACGCACCGACAGTATCGCTGAAGGCACGAAAAACAAATCCGAAAGGCGCAGCGAATGAGGGGGGTGGACGGTAGGGTGTGATCTGTGTCCTAATTCACGATAACAAACGGGGAGAGAACAGCCGAAAAAAAAACAAGCATCGGGAAAGAAGCAACTGGAGAAACAGAGCTCAAGCCTAAATTCTCGGGGAGAGGAGGCACGTCAACCATTGCTGAAAAGGCAAAGAGTTTCGTAAAGCCGGAGAGGGGAAAGACGCAGGTAGGTGTAACCCTCGGCCAACTCTCCATTTGAGCACCCTCCGACCTCAAAGCAACGCCGACAGGCTTGGCGACATCAGGCGCGCCGAACAAGGATCTCGCGAGTTCCGTCGCGCGTACACCACAAAATGCAAACATCGCTGCACGTGAAATATGAGGCAGTCGGTGCTTTCATGTCCGGGGTCTTTCGAGTGTCCTCCCCCTGTCCAAGCAACGACCTCCGGTGAGGTCGCTAACGCTGAGATGCACTCCACACTTTCGCTTCACTAGCTCATAAGAGTGTCTCACATAATCTCTTCTGGTGTGGGCGACTTGAGCTTGATGAGAAACCCGATCACATCTCCGGGCCCCCAGGGCTCGCCGTAATTGTCCGAGCGGAGGGAATCGTGAACCTGAGCGTACATCCCGGAAGCGAACGGGTTCATTGCGAGAGAGGGCTGTCTAGGCGAAAAAAATGGACAGAGGCGGTTGAACTTCCGGTTCGAAAGAAAGGTTCCATCGGTGATTTACCGACGAACGCCCGCAAATCGGGCCGGTGCCCTCACTATCGACACCCGTTGCCGCGCGAGCACTATTTCCGTAAAGCTAAAATGGCGGAAGAGCCGACGGCGAATCAGCAGCGGCATCGCCGCTTCCTCTTGGATGTCAAACGCCAAGCGCGTCCCGGTGCCCCCCCAAGGGTTGCCATACACAAAACCCTCTATACCCTGTCAGTTGGCCCCGCCCTTCCACCGTTGCACACGAGCGGACGCGCCGAGAACGAAAACAATCCGCCGGTCACCTTGGAACCGGCGATATCTCTGTAGGCGTAGCTGAACTTGTCGTAGCCGACTGGTCCTTGTAGCTTTCCCGCCGGGAGGGACCAGCCCAGGCGGCAGTGGCCCTCCGTCGTCTCCGGAGGAAGGACCGTGCATTCCCAGTACCTGGCAAAGAAAACGGGAACACACACGGGGGGGGGGGGCAGTTACAGTTGACATCAATGCGTGGTCTGCCTTACCATAGGCCTAGACTAGAGCCAGTGGAACGCGCTGGTGTGCGTCCAGACTGAGCGTTGGGGGGCACGGCGGTGGTGTTCGGCACCACTTCCGCTGCTGAGAATTTCGGTCGGCTTGTGCGATGCTATTGAAGCTAACTGTTGATCGCCGAAAAGGTTGACTGTCGAGGGAGAGGGTGAGCGAATTCGGCACGATCCAACAGGGTTGTGCCGTCGGAAAAACAGCGGACGACCTTGGTTGATGGCATCGTGAGCGTCTGGTCATTCTTGGATCGCTTTTTGCACGTCCTGAACAAAATCACACGAAGATGCGACTCCCTCGTTCTCCTCTTGGACGGGCACAAGCTGGCTACGTTAACCTACGGATCGGACTCGTCCAACAATATTATCTACGACTGTCAACGTTGGTTGTACAGTCCGGCAAAGCCTTCCTGAAGCCCGGAATAGAACTCGCATCGCTGCTTACGCTCTTGATTTATCTCCAGATCAAACTCGTGGAAGCGTCCGGGAAAGTCGTTGGAATACGGACCAAGATTGGTTTACAACCACCAACCAATGACACGCTCATAAGTGACTTGGTACCCTACGCGTTTGCCTAGAAAATCTGGGTCGAGAGAGTCGGCGTTGTTCCGGGAATACTCACCATGTCCCGTTCGAGACGCCCTTTGTCGCCCGCGCCATGCGGAAACCTTTGTGCCCGGTCACCGTCAGCTGATCCTGTGGTAAGCGCCATCGAGGAGAAAATGGACTCAACACAACCGGCGAGGGCATGCAGTAGCAGCGTCGCGCGGGGCCGATGGTGACGTTGACGTGGGCACAGTGCAAACGGCGACGGCGACGGCGGCGGCGGCGGGGTATGTCCGCCGGCCCTCGCCTGGTGGAAACCGATCGTCGCCGGTGGCGACGAGTACTATTCAACGACAATACGATTATATGCCTGTAACGCGTCACCAACAAATAGCGACAACAACAGCCGAGGATGCCTGACTTGGCGTTCGCAAGGAACACAGACTCTCGCCAACACACGTGAACATTAACCGAGTACCTTATGAGGCATGGTAAGCTGAGGTGCGCAGTCTTCGGCAGACCGTGAAATAACCACCCCCTAACACCGAGAGCCGAGCGGGAAAAAGCGCGAATAGGGTGCACAAGTCGACAGCAGCAGCGGCGCAGGCAATAGCGGCGGCACGAAAAAGGAAGGGATGAACGAACTCTCTCACCGGATAACCCACTAAACAAAACAGTCTAGGGCGGGGATGGCCACCTGGTCTAGAAGATTTCAAGCCTCAAACAGAGCCTGAAAAAGTGGAAGTGCGCCGTTCGACCTGGACCAAATGGCGGCCGCATGCAACACGGTAACGACAAGACACAAAGTCGAAGGTACGAAAAGGAGGGAGCGCGGGGGGGAGGGCGGGGGTAGCCTACTCACCAACACGCCGGGGCGTGGTGGTGGCGCAACTAAAAACTGTGAAGCGTTACCCCGTTCCCTCGTGGTCATCCTCGTCACGAGATACGCAGACACTTGCCGGAGGAGTGTAGGCCTGGGACCCCGTGCTAGACCCCCTGGAACCCTTCTTCTGCTTCTTCTTGCTGGTGGGTCCCGGGGCCGAAGCTGGGGCCGGAGAAGGCGCGGAGGTGACCGAGGCACCGGAGGCGGAGCTTACGGAGGCGTTTCTGGGCGGGGATGGGCTGTTTCTTCCCCCCGTCGACGATGAGTTGGCTCGTTTGCGACCACCGCCGCCGTGCTGAGTCCCGCCGCCTCCATCACTCTCCGACATGCTTTAAAAACTGCACCCCCTTCCCCCCTCGCCCCGAGTGTGATGCACGACCTGCGAGAGAGCACGACAGCGGGGCGGAGATGAAAGAGGCAGGACCAAAGACGTCACGTGCAGCATGGTTTGATCGGGGTTTGGATTGTCAGTGACTTGCGCGAGCAGTCGAACAGGGCTTTGTTCGTTCCACAGACGTGCCACCACTTGAGAGCCAAAAAACAACACAAGCCTCGAGGCTCGGTGCCTTTTTCCTTTGTGGGGCGACCATACACCGCCATGGCCGCGTGTCATGGCACCGGGAAGCGATGGTTTTCGCCAAATCACTTCTTTGTTGACTCTTTGTCGCACGGGGGTGCGATAACTGTGATGGGATGCCAACAACCCGATACCGACACGGAAAAAAAAAAAAAACTTGCTGAAAGCGTTTCCAACGCACCCTCGGCGAGACAGGTTACTACAACGTCGCTACAATTGCAGTGAACATACAGATAATACAGCAGATTGAGCGATGGCTCCGAGCCGGGGTTTCATTGGTGTCGTCGCACCGCGCGGCGCGATACCATCGATGACGGCACGGAAACGAATGAAATCATGCCGTTCTTGCTTTGGCTACCCCGCCGCAGTGCCATGAACGCGACGGATGGGAAACCCCCGACGGGCGCTGCCGTTACGGTAGGTTATTCAGTAGTTCAGGATGGATTCAACATGTCACATTTCGAAAACAAACCAACCCTCACGGTCTCAATAACCTGGCATTGTCCAAGTTCTCAAGTGGGGGCGTGTTCGGTAGTCAAGCGGGATACTTGATTCAAATGCTGGCAGGGTGCATTTACTCAGCATTAGCAGCAATGGCTCAGGCCCGAACGCGACTGGGACTCTCGGTCCTTTACGGCTCAGATCCTCAGCGCTGTTCGGCTCACCAACATCACGACCATGTCTCCTACACGAAGATAAGGGCACCACATTCAAGTGACGGCAGACAGTTCGGATCACCAACGTCACGACCATGACTCCTACACAAAGATAAGGGCACCGCATTCAACTGACGGCAGACAGCCAGGTCATGGATGTTCTGTTGCGCCGGTGTGTTGAACGAAAGTAGCAGGGTGTTCTCGGTCACGGCGGGAGAGACCGCGAGAGCTTCGGCAAACAGCAAATGGAGAGGAACGCCATGTTTGTTTGTTTTCTTTTCTTTTGTTACTCTCCCATCATTGGACTCTGCCGTCTGCCCCTCTTGCCCCTATCCTCCACTTCTACTGGCTAGACGACCCAACCGGGGTCACATAGGAGGGGGGGGTTAGACCCCCTCCTGCGGTTCATGCCTGAGGTATTTTTATCGCGAGAAGGGTACAGCAATCCCTTCCCTCGCGACTTACGAAGTCGATTATGGTTTACTAACAAACGAGCTTTGCAGCGCGTCGCTTTCATCCTAGACCAGGATTTATTTAGTGAGAAAAAACTCTCTCTGCCGGGACTCGAACCCATGACCTGGCCCTTAGCAGGCTGCGAGGCTACCTACTAGGCCACCGGGGCGTGTGTGGGGTGGTATATGTCCACGCCCTGCTGTAGAACGTGCCCTCTACGTATACCAGGGGGTTGACAATTCACGACGCGACTCATGGGAGTACCGAATGTACGGTGCGCCGGACTTACAGCACCTCTTGTTGTATGCAGTATGCAGGACCTTCTCAAGTAGCGCAACGGAGTGCCCACACTCGTTCGTGTTCCTACAGCAGTGCTGCAAAGACGCGGTGAATCCTCCACCTGGGATCACGGTGGTGTTGGCGACAATGCAGCAAAGGCTTCTTTGGATACTGAGTTCTTGCGTTGCAGACGTGCCCACATGGGTGGCGCCCAAGGAGTTGAATGAATAGACTTCAAGTCCGGAGGAGCACGGGCAGACCTACAATTGTACAGCAGTAGAACACAACGTCGGAGCAGCGATTAAAACTGCGGTGGGTGACCCTGAACACTTACGCAACATTGTCCGCCCATTTCTCACCTGCTTCCTCGGTCAAGTTGACCCAGCGGAAGCAACGGCAAAGGGTGTATATCGCCAGATGGAAGACAAGCGACAAACCGAGTCGTCACATGTGGTAATGGTGTGCAGCCTAAGGCCTGCGTCGTTGAACGCCCGCGGCTGCTCTGCCTCTCTCCTGCTACCCTCTCGGCGGCCGGAGGGTATCCCCCCAAAGATGCTGTCCGTTGAGCCCCAACCTTGGCTCGATGTCTCGTGCCCGCATCGCACACCAACAAGGGCAGCAGGTGCTCCCTGTTGATACCATATGGCGCATAAGGAGAGGGAACGGGTTCCGAGAGCTCCAAGCAAGAAGCCATGCAGGTGGGGAGGGAGGAGACACAGCAGCAGTTGTTGGGTTGCCTGTTGGATATTTCGCATGTTGCACAGGACTGTGAGGATTGCGGTATGTGTTGGGTGGTTGCGCCGCATCGCCGCATCACACGTCAGCATCATGTCAACATACGCCGATCAGCACGAGCAGGAGCGGCACCGGGAGGGATGCAGGGCGTAGGGAGTATAGGTGATGAAGGATCACGCTAGTGTCTAGGGTCAGGAGTATATTCCCGCCTTTTGAGAGGGTTTTTTGGTAACTCATCGGCGTACGTTTCTGGTCCTTCCAGTCCCAACATGGGAGTTTCCGTTGTCTAGATGCAGCAACGGTTCAGCTCACTGGTGCGGTCTTGCCTCTTTATTCTCAACCTGATGGAGAGATGCTTCTCGTTTGCCGAACTTCTCACCAAGGCAGTGCTACTTTTTTATGTCGCAATCCCAAGTGTTGGTACTGGCACGCATCCGGTCATCGGAAAAGAGCACAAATTTGCAAATTTGTTGGTGCCGGTGAGTCTGGTCTGCTGGGTCTCTCAGAAAACATTCCATCACTGCTGCCTCCGCATGTTGTGTTCTGTTGAACTTTTTCGGGTCAGATTTCCACCGATGCAGAAACCACCGTCCTCCCTGTGCGCCTCTGCACGCTCGCTCGTTGTTCCAGGTTCTTCCACCAGAACGACTGCTTCAGGGGTGATAAGTGCCACATGGTGCACGTTGCTAAGAACACCGTGAGTACCGCACTGCCCCATGTGCGATGGTATCATGCATTCCGCGCTTCCCACCCCGCCGCCTCAAGCACAGGAATAGCCCCCATTCCCTGAGAGTCACGCGAACCTTGTCCTCAATATCGATAGAACAATTCCCACCATCAACGAAAACCAACGCCAAACACAAAGCTCAGCGGTGGTTCTCAACTTACTGGTAATACTCCAGACGGGAGGCCTGGCCTATTTGCGAATCTGCCACGGATTTCCGCGCGGCCGTTGTATACTTACCCAGGTACCGGCAGAGAGGGGAGCTAGCCGAAGAAGGGAACGACCGCCACCCATCACCCCAGCCGCTTCCGGTCAGCATGCGTGCTGAACCCCCTCCTTCCCCCTCACCAAACCCGACGATCCCAAACAACCACAGCTGGCGGCTTGCCAGACGCACCTTTTCTGGCTGGAAGACCCCTGGTCCCGGCCCGCCTGCGAGTGGGGCGAAGACTGCACCTTTCCGCACCCCAAGCCTGAGGGTCCCGAGGACCCGGGGCTGCTCAGGACCAACGTCGCCCTGCAGACGGAGAGCTCGCAGCTTTCGCGGGTCAGGGCGTACGCATCGGGCGTGCTGGGCAAGGGCGGCGAGGCCTCCGACACGGGCACCGCCCGATCCGGGACCAGCAGGTTAGGGCAGGTCGCGGCGGCGTGTGTGCATGGTGATTTGTGGCCATGGTTCGATTTGTGCACTGCAGTGATTTTGCTTTGTTGGACAGCGTTGTCTCACTTTGATTCGAAAGAAAGGCAATCGCTGACGTTTTGGTTTTTGGTGTTGGTGAACCGTTTTTGTCGCTGCCCAGCCGTGTATGGCTATCTTTGATGTTTTGGTTTGATGTTCCACGTGTCGTCGTGGTTGGAAGCTGCAGCTCCCGGAAAGAAAGCTGTTCTAACGACAAGAGGAAGTCCGGGATAATTCGGGACCTCTGATAACTCAAAGTATCTCGGACCTCTGATACCTCAACAGTATCTCGGACCTCTGATACCACAGCACTATCATTTTCTTGCTCCCCTCAACTTCCCCTTTGCGGTTTCTTGTTGGGTGTTACAAGATTCTCTGGTATTAACTTTCTTGCCCTAGTTGCTACTACAGAGAAACAGCTGCAGGAGGTGTCTACGTCGCTTTCGGTGGGCATCGTAGTTGACGAAGGTGTCCCTTGCGTGGTGTTTCCGGACATTGTGTCACTCTCGACGTCTCAATTTTTTTTTTAAGCGGCATCAAGTCACCTCGGCTTGTGGCTTGCCGGTTCTACATCTACAGTACCCCTCAAAATATGTGCTCGCTCTCACCAAATATTACATGTCGGGCGTCGGGTTTGGATATTTTCAGGTACAGGCAGAAGCTGGCTCTGCTGGAAGCGAGAGATCCCCAAGAGTTTTCCAGGAGGTGCGTCTCCGACCCGTCTTTGTGCCGGTCGCTGCTGAGGGTCTACCTCCTCGGCGGGGGGCTCTGCGCGAGTCTGGAAGACGTGGGAAAGGCGGTGGGTTTTATTTGTGGCTTGACTCAATGCATTCCGGTGTCGCCGCTGCAAGAGGGAACACAGCAGGCTGTTCCCTTGTGTGTTTTGGTGCCATGGTCCTCTTTCCCGAGTAGGTTCTCGAGTGTATGTTTTTTCTTTTTGTGTGTGTGCCATCTTGACCTTCCTTTTTCTTTTTGCGCTAATGTTGTGTCATGCTGCACAAAGCCTGTCTTATGTAAGCAATCCGACGCCCCCAGGCATGCCTGACACTCTGCTGCCCCGCTTGCATGCCGATACAAACCGACCAGTGGCGATCAGATGTTTCCCCCTTTGTTTCCGAACACACGTCCCGAATAAGCCCACCCAATGTTTATGCTTTGGGGTCCAACTACGTCCTAAGGTATCAAAAGCGGTAGCGGAAGGCAAATACCCTGGAGGAAGGCCGCCCCCCGGAGCAGAGGACACTGCTACAACTACTCCTACTGATGCCGTTGCTGGTGGTGCTACGCTGCCGCCACAGCCGCCACCGCCGCCGCTGTGCGTGCGAGTCCAGGCCCTTCCGAAGGTAGACGGTAGTTTGTTGGACCGGACCATCTTGGGGGGTGGCAACCTGGGTTCTGCAAATATGCGAGGGTGGCGGCTTGAGGCTTGGATCATTGCCCTGGAAGCCCCAAGGTGCCGTGTTCGTGACTGGGGGGGGGGGGGGG